GTGATGACATGTAGAAAATTGTTACTGTAACATGGGGACCAAATGTGCGTTAAGCTATAAAATTACCAAAACATGAATGGAAGTCAATCCACGGTCCCCACAGGGATATAAAAACTATTAGGGCTGGGGAAAAAATTTAATCAGTCTTGGGTTGATTTTATTTAAATTTGTGAAAATCCGTCCCCAGGACTTGAGATTCTTCCTCATGGCGTCTTGTACGTGTCTGAGTGTTTTTACATTTTGTCCCTCCTGGTTTGCCGTATGTTTACATGCAGCTGACGTTCAGCGCTAACGTTAGCTTTCAATAACAAGTTGTCTGGATSAAAACAAAAGAAACGAATGAACCTGTAATGTTACAGCCGACTGTCAGCAGAACTTAAAGACAACAGAGACCATGGAGACGTGTGTTTGTAAAGATGTGTGCTCCTCCTCTGCAGAGGAAATGAAGTGAGGTTTAATGAGTGACTCGTTAGGAGCTCAGACCAAACTACTGTCTGTAAACATCTGACTGAACTSTTCTCCATCTTTAAACCTGTTAAACATGACATCCTCACAAAATCAGTTTGTTACCAATATTATTATTTTTAATCTTTAAGAAACGACTTCATTAAATCCACATGATGACATTTTGTAGTTGTTTTATTTGTATGTTTTAATAAGTTATATTGAACATAACAGTTTACAGAAACATTACAAATACACAGTTTTCATACTAAAGGAGTGGGCAGAAGTTTTACATTAGCTCACCTCCTCTGCAGCCTTATTCCATCACTTATTTATCAAAATAATTATTAATTTCTTAAAAATAAATGTGTCCAACAACTCCTGCAGTTCCTTTTACATTTAAAACCTTTTATACTTGTGACAGTTTTCCTTCACGATTAAACAGTTTAATTTAAAACTTTGTCCTTAAAACCTGTTGTTCATGTTGAAGAGAAACAATAAAGATTTTTATTTTGTAACAAAGTTGAACGTTTTGAACCGAGCAGATCAGATTGAATCTTTGTTAACTGATTCAGAACCTAATGAATCGAAATCAAATCGATTTAAAGAACTGGCCGTGATCCCCAGCCCCAAAAACAAACCTGTGTGTTTGTTTGTTTGTGTGTTTGTGTATTTGTTTGTATTTGTTTGTTTGTTTATTTTTGTGTGTGTGTGTGTGTGTGTGTGTGTTTTTGTGTGTGTGTGTGTCAGAGATGGACTCGTCCTCACCATCCCTGAGCTCAGGCAGGAGTCCAACACACTCATGTGGACGTTCCTGAGACGCTCACAGCTGCTGTCTGAACTTTTCATCCACAGACGACACTCTGAGCCCGGAGGCACCGAGAAGGCCTGACACACGGCCGCCTGGATCGTGTCTGCACATACACACACACACACACAGACACACACACACACACACACACACACACACACACACACACAC